TCGTACGTATGTGTAGATTAAGTTACCAAAGCCTTGTAGCTTTTGTGGATCTCGAGATGAAAACTTGTTACAGACGCACATACAGACACACACACACATACACACATGCATACACACAGACACACACATACTCACAGACAACTCCTCGACAATGCGCGTTTTGCATTGCATAGCTGCAAAAAACGCATTAGACTGGGCCTGAAAATTAACGCGTCGAAAAATGAAAATGCAAAGTGCTGGTATGCCTGCAAAAAAATTGCAGATAAACTGTGTTGATTCTGAAGAAGTTGACTGCTACGCCTATCCTGCTCGGGAAATAAATGTTCTCAATGATCTGCCAGCTGTAGTTTTATAGGGCTGCTAACTGGCACATATTTCACAGCATCATCGGCATCCTCATAGCACTGGAACGAAAAGGATCATCTCTCGAAAAGGGTCAACTTCCTGGTCATCTCACAAATTCACTGTGGTGGAAGCATCGACTTGCGCATGCGAAGCCTGTTCACTGACGAAAGTAGAAGAAAGTGTTGGTAGTGACACCTAGAGCGAAGGACGAAGGAATCGTGTTTGTGGAAGCAATCAATCAAATTCTTGACATGCAGTATAACAAAGAGACGTAGTAAGGGTGCAGTTCGATGGGCAATTCACATTGCTTTGTTTGCTGATTAACAGTGGATGCCGCATATTCGCGTGTAGCAACTGCAAGGAAGAAAACCGCCAACTAGGTGGCTTCCAAAACGGACACACATACATCGAACAGATGCTGAGGAGCTGTTCAGCTCAGGATTGAATGGCCCAGCAAAGTTACGCGTACCATATGAAAAAATTCTAGGAGCATTACTCACTAAGATACCTACACCCACTGCTCTGCGGTCGTGAACAATATATATGTTTGTGCGTGCATGTGTTTTATGCTGTCTGGGTTGTGGACACACTACCGTCTTGAAATCAAAGATTGGTGTATGATACGGTTGAAAGGTTGAGGATTATTTCGTACTGAATAAGACGGTAAATTTGACTTTGTGTTGTTTTGCATCTTACTCGTTTGCATCCTTTTTATGCTTTTTGCCTATACGCAAATTGCAAAAACGCATATTGCGATGACCCCGTCTATGTGTGTGTTTGTGTGTGTATTCGTCTCTCCGAGCATTTCAACTCGGCAGCCAAGCAAGCTCAAGCGCCAAGATTTTGCTAGTAGGTTCCTCGGCCAAGTGCCACCCCAGAACCGCGGTACCAACCCTTACGCAAATCTGGGTCTCGTGTACGAGGGGGTGAAGGTTTTGGCGGGAAAATTGATAACTCGGGAACGAGAAAAGATAGAAAGCTGAAATTTTGAGGTGATGTTCTCCGTCCACATATAACTCAAAGATTTCAAATTCAGCCCCCAGGTGTGCGTGGTTTCCGCGTGTAGCCTCTTGAAATTTTTCGGCGGGAAAATGACTAACACGGGAACTAGCAAAGCTGGGAGGCTGAAATTTTCAGGGAATGTTCCCAGCCCATGTACAACTTAAAGTTATTAAATTCATCCCCCAGGCATGCGTCTTTCTCATGTACAGCCCCGCGAAGTTTTTTGGCGGGAAACTGACTAACTCGGGGATTAGGAAAGCTGGGAGGCTGAAATTTTCAAGGAATGTCCCTAGCATAAGTACATTATAAACCTATCAAATTCAGTCACCAGTCGTACGTGGTTCTCACGTACGTCCTTACGAGATTTTTCGGTGGGAAAATGGCTAACTCGGGAACTAGCAAAGCTCGGGAACTGAAATTTTCAGGGGATGTTCCCAGCCCATGTAGGATTTAAAGTTATCAAATTCAGCCCCCAGGCATGCGCGGTTCTCATGTACGGTTCCGCGAAGTTTTTTGGCGGAAAATT